ATTTGCTGTTCCAGTGAAGTTGCAGAGAGGGGGAGAGAAAGCGGGAAAAGAAAATAGGCAAGGTTTTCGGAGGGGTTTTATAGGCCGCCACTGCGACGTCGTTTAGTAACGAAGAAAGCAAAACTAATAAGGGGCGAAAAGGAGAGGAGCTGCAAGGTTTTTATTTATACGAAAACAACAACATTTCACCAAGACAGCAAAAACAAAATTATTAGCCCCAAAAGCTAGTAAAAGAGTTAAGCATTTTTTTTTTTGCTTTATTTGGTATCTATTTATTTCTTTACTTTTAATTATGTATTTTTTAGTAATAGGGAAATAGAAATAATGAAATAATAATATGATTTTAAATTTTAGTTTTTAAAATTTTTGTAGGATTAGTTAGTTGTTTCAGAATAAAAAAAGAGGATTAAGTTATAAAAATTGAAAAATCTCTGATCTAATTTTTTTTTCATATTGATTAATGAACTCAAACCGCTATTAAAAACCTCTAGATAATCAAAATGATTTTTGATATTATCTACAATTAAGGTTTTTTTTTATTTTTTATAATTAAAAAAAAATCAAATTTTACGAATCATGTACTAACCAATAAATAAAATGCTCGAGTGAATTTACAATTACAGTTATTTCCCTACAATGTTGTTAACAAGCACTTTGTTACTTAATTTATTGATAAAATATATTATTAAAATATTTAATTATTCTAAATAATTTTTTAACAAAATGATATTCAAATTATATGTCAATTAATAACTCTCGCAATTTAAGCGTGTTGATAACTAATTTAAAATGAATACAACCAAATAAAAAAAGAAAAATAATTATTTTATTACTTATGTCTCAATGAATAATACCTTTTATATTCGATTTCATTGAAATCTATTTAGAGAATACTTTTAACTTTTATTTAATCTAATTGAATAATGATCAACTCTTTTATAAGCTGCCAATTACCCTCCCGACAAGCAACCTTAATTAGGTATCTTATTTCATTAATCCATAAGCTGTATGAATGTAAACTTTACGAGAATTAATAGAAGACTTGAAATAAATAATTAAGTATAAAACTAATTAGATGCGAAATAGACAACTTCCATAAACATAAGGGTCACTGGTCGGGTTGAGCTCTAACTGATCTTCAATGGCCAAAATTCCTATTAATGCCAAAATCAGAGCAACGACTTTTGGGCTGATTGGGTTGAGGTCCTGCAAAATATTGAACAAAGGGGAAGGGTGATGGTGTAGGCCCGACAACCTGCCTTTGATACTTAGTGAGTCTTAAGTGGAATGGGGAGTTGAAGCATACCTTTAGAGACAAAGCACATATTAAATAAAACAATTGCCCAATTTTAAGCATAGGAAAATGAAAAATGACTTGTAGCATTCTTAATTTGTCCACAAGCATGGAAGATAATCATAAGAAAAAGTTTTATTGATTTATTCTGTTCAAGAAAGTTCTACAGCTTTATTTATTCTGTTCATGATAACCAGATTTGGTGCTTCCGGACCAAATCCCACGATTGGATCTAACACTCCACAACCAGATCCAATCGTAGGAAGTTCCGATCTGACACCCTAGTGGCCAGATCTGGCGACATGCTGCACCAAATCGACGTTTTATTATACCGATCACCTTTCCGATGGCTAACCCATGGAGAAGAAAGAAAAAAAAAGGATTATTAATATTTTATCTATAATTCAAACATTATTAATATTAATTTGATTAAAGTATTAAAATGTTAATATTTAAATATTACTATTTTATTTATTAAATTATTAATATATTAAATTTTAAATAAGTATAAATAAAAAATAAAAAATTATACTAATATTTTAATAATAAAATTATTAAATTTTAAAATTTAAAATTATAATGAAAATAAAAATTAAATAATTAAAAAAATCTGGTTATATTTGTTTTTTGTATAAATTTTACTAAATTATGTAAAGAGTATTTTGTTATTTAAAAAATAAATACTATTATAATAAAAAGTTTTAGTTTTTAATTATATATTATAATAATTAATATTTTAAATTTAGAAATTAATTAAAATTATTAATATTTTAATTATAATATTATTAAATTATAAATAAAATATTAATTTTTAAAAATTAATAGTTAAATTATATAAAAATATTAATATTTAAATTATTAATTATTAAAATTTTAAAAAAATTATAAATTATTAATATTTAAAGAATAAAATAAAAATAATGATCATATATATAATAAAAGATATTTTTGTTTTTTTATTTTCTATTTCTTTCTCATTCCAAAATTATTATTACTAACTAAACACGGTAATAAATCATAATAATTATTTTTACTCTATTCTATTCGTCATATCAAACTATGTAATATTTATTTTATTTTATTTTTATCTTATTCTGTTCTCAATAATAATTATTTTATTTTATTTTTATCTCTTCCGTGAACCAAACGCGTTGTTAAAGATCTGTTGTAATTAGAGGGCATTATTATCTCACATAAATGACTAGTATGCCCCCAATTTTCATCATTAGAAGCGATTAAGTGAAGGAGATAAGTCCACGTGTCCCATGTGCTTCTGGTCTGGGCTAGTTAGGGCCATGGTCCAACAACTTTATTGTAGGCATTTACACAGACATTTAAAGAATACGTTCTAATGGCAAGAACTATTAGTTCCTATAATAAAATAAAATAAATATTTTGTGAAAATAGAATAGAGTAAGAATAGATTGAAATATTATTATATAATTTAGTTGATACAATAAAATTAAATAAGAATTAGTATTATTTAATGTAATGTTTGATTGATAAAAATAATTTTTAAATATCAAAGAAATAATTGATAAGAAGATAATAATACTTTTTATTATAATATATGATTATTTAGTTTTATTTTATTTTTTTAAAATATTAATAATATATAATTTATTGAAAATATTAATTATTTAAGTATTAACATTTTTGAATATTAATATTTTATTTATAATTTAAATATTATTATGATTAAAAATATTAATAATTTTAATTAATGTTTCATTTAAAAAATTAAAATTTTATAATATATAATTAAAAACTTAAACTCTTTGTTATAAAAAGATTTATTTTCATCAAAAACAAAAATACTCTTTATATAATTTGGTAAAATTTATAGCAAAGAAAAAATTAAGTAAATTTTTTCTTTTTTAATCATTTAATTTTTATTTTCATTAAAACTTTAAAATTTTAATAACTAAATAATTTATTATTAAAATATTAACATAATATTTTATTTTTTATTTTTTCTCTATTTTCATTTTTTATATTTTAATTTAATACTTTAAACAATAATATTTTAAAATATTTTATTCTATTTATAATTTAAATATTATTATGATTAAAATATTAAAATTAAAAAAAAATATTTTAAATTTAAAATAGTAATTTTGTATATTTAGGTTTGTAATTTTTAAAAATAAATAAAGATATTTTAGTCTAAAATATTTTGGACTCTATTTTCATGGATGTGGAATAGCTAATACCATATAAGATATGGTAATATCCATTCTAAGATTTTGTAAAGTTTTGAAAAATCCCGTTCTTCTCTCTAAAAACAAACCGAATGGAGAGAGAAATTTTTTCAAAAAGTAGAGGAGGAAATCTCCAGCCAAACATGCCATAAGTACTACAATTACTATCACAAAGTTATTTTAGTCTCGGATTAGAATTTAGGCTCAAGCACTAATAATTTGCTTTTTCCAAATGCAAGTTTACTCGTTTATGTCTTATTTTAAAAGTTAGGATAGGATCTTTATAATTTTAAAAATAAAAAATCCCCAAAAAATAATATTTATAATTTTAAAAATATATATTTTAAAACATTATATATTGATGGTAAGTTAACCATAATGATTCTAAGCCTTTCAAGATAAAAAAAAAATCATCAAGGGTTTTTTTTAAAAAATAACCCTTAAAGATAAAGTTTTCAAAAATAACTCTCTTTATAATTTTAACTGTTTTTAATCAAATTGGATAAAATTACTTTTAATGAAATTACACATCATATACAAAAACATGTTACACATTATGGTTAAATTGTTACACGTCATATTAAAAAAAATACTATTATTATACATTATGTACAAAAATATGTTACACACCATGGTTGGGTTGTTACACATTATGTATATAAATATGGTTAAAAAAAGTTATTACACGATATGTTGAAAAAAAAATATTATTGTTATAGGTCATGTTAAAAAAATATTATTGTTACACGACATATTTAAAAATATTTTATTACACTTTAATACTTAAAATATTATTGTTATTTATAAACCGAAACTTCAAATCCTATCAACTCTTTTCATTTTTTTTTATTTTTTTGGCAATTTGGCACCGATTAAAGTATTTCTAACATATTTTCATAAATTAAAACATAAATTATTTTATTTAAAATACCTACTTCGACTAAAAATTAAAAAAAAATTCTTTTGAAAACTTAAATTTATAAATTTCAAATTCTTGAGTTAATTAGTGTCTAGGTCTTGAATTGATCCAATTAAAAGTTATTTCAAACATCTGTGATCATTTCTACCGATTTAGTTTTATCTAAAATACTTAAAAATTAAATTCTCTAAATAGTCACTCACCTAAACACATCAAAACTATTACTTGGTATTTTGAACGAGAAAAAAATCGAGAGTATAGCAGATGAATGCTGAAGAGAAAAATTGATAAAATTAAAGAGAGTGTGATGGTGAGAGAGAAATTGAAAGAACAAATGAAGAAAAATTATGATAAATGGTTTAATTTATTTAAAATTGTTTCAAGGATATTTTTATTAAATCATGATTAAATATAATTAAAAATAATTAAATTTATTTTAGTGATTATTTTTGAAATTCTTTATCAAAAAAAATTATTCTTCATAATTTCCTCAAACGATAATGCTTAAAAAAAGAAAAAAATTGAAAATCACAATTTGATCCGTATGCCTATATAAGTATGTATCACCTAAGTTATGAAACAAGATTGCACTAATTCCTGTTCAGTCATTTGTCGTTCCTACGTAAAGGGGAAGCTACGACAACTCATTATGCTGAAAAACCCAGAGGAAGAGCACCCCAAGAAGGCATTTGGGTGGGCAGCTAGAGTTCAATCTGAGGTTCTATCCCCCTTCAAATTCTCCAGAAGGTTTTCTCTTCCATCCCTAAGTATCCTTTTCTACTCCCATCAATTTCTTTTTCATGGAAGCTAAATGTCAGATTTGCAGGGCAACAGGAGAGAAGGATGTGGCTGTGAAAGTGCTCTACTGTGGGATATGCCACTCAGATGTACATATGATCAATAACGATTGGGGACTCTCCTACTATCCTCTTGTGCCAGGGTATAGTTAGAACCTAATTAAAGTAATTTTTGTATATATTAACCATCTTCTTTTAACCTTCGTTTGTGCACATATCTAGGGTGCAGTCAATAATAACATTTTTTATCTATATGTTGCGATTTCCATTGAAACTACTTCCTAGGCTAGAAGAAAGCATTTGATCTGTGTTTTCTCAACTGAAATTATTGGTTGACTCAGTCATGAGATTGTCGGTGAAGTAAATGAAGTGGGAAGCAAAGTAGAAAAGTTCAGAGTTGGAGACAAAATTGGGGTGGGTTTCATAGTGGGATCATGTCGCTCCTGCGAGAACTGCGCCAACAATCTTGAGAACTACTGCCCAAATTATATACTAACCTATTCATCGAAGGACTACGATGGCACTATAACATATGGAGGCTATTCGGACATCTTGGTTGTAAACGAGCACTTCGTGGTTCATATCCCCGAGAAATTGCCTCTCGATGCTGCTGCTCCCCTTCTCTGCGCTGGGATCACAGTTTATAGTCCACTGAGATATTTCGAACTTGACAAGCCAGGTTTGCATCTTGGTGTTGTTGGCCTGGGAGGGCTAGGCCATACGGCTGTGAAATTTGCCAAGGTTATGGGGGTCAAGGTGACAGTTATTAGTACTTCTCCTCACAAAAAGAAGGAAGCTATGGAAAATCTCGGAGCTAATTCATTTTTGGTTAGCTACGAGCAAGATCAACTAGAGGTATATGTTTGCTTTCTCACCAATTTTATGAGCGTTCTTCCTGGTGTAATTGGCTTCTAATTAACGCCTCGTGAAGGCAGACGTTAAGTACAGGTTTGTTATCGATATTGGAAACACATTAAAGAACTCATGCCCCTAATTTTCTTTCCTTGTTATCATCTGAAAAATGAGTATGTTTGTATGTTATAAAGTATATGTATATATATGGGTTAATTTGTTTATTTTTAAATAAAATTGCCCATATGAATTGTATTAATTTTTTTTTTCTTTCGTGTGTAACAATCCGTATGTTTTCTTTCATAACCGATGTTACATGTTTCCGTTCCTTTGGCCATAATTAAATCTCGTGTTTATGGTACTATTGTCTGTCGATTTAACTCTCAACTACAGGCAAGCCTTTGTCTTCTTCTATATCAGCCCAGGGACCACATGTTCCCTCCGATTGCCACCCCATCTTCAAATCCCTTCACCAAAAAGCTACCATCACAAATTTATTATTATTATTATTATTATTATTATGTAAAAGAACTTCGAGTCCAATTTTTAAAATAAAGAATTATATATGCTCATGATCGACCAAAATGTGGAAATGCATCACAGGTTAACTTTTTATATGTGCGAAAGGATAACAAACGAAATCCTTATATCCGCCACAAATTTTCTTGACAATATATGTCCGTACCAAATTTAAGTTATGGGTTCTTCTTTAAATGACAACATAGGGCCCAATATAGAGCTAGCCCAACAAATCTTCAAAAAGCAAGTGTTGCCACCAGCTAGCAGTGCCTGTGTCTATGCCTAGGCTTCGTAAATGATGATTGATAGATGACATGCCACGACAGAAGCTTGAACTGCCAATTCCTTCAGTCCCAGCTAGTGGTGCAGTACCATACATACAACATTAAATTTCTTTTGAGCCATGTCGACCACATAATCTAAAAGAAAAGAGAACGAGGGCTTGCACACAGTGGGAGGTTTTTTTCCGTGTGTTCCACGAGCTCACACCCCAAAAAACAAAATTTGCGAGACCTAAGTTTTGCTTTGAAGTTCCACCGGCGAAAGTTGAAAATGGGGAAAGTCTTCATCAAATATGAAAGCCCTTTTTGTTATTTTCTACGGCTAGCTAGTGATTGTTGTTCAACTCATTTGATTTTACCCAAAAATGACGATTTAGGTAAATCTTACTTGATTTTAATAAAACAAAGTGATTTTATTGGTAATCTATTTTTATAAGGTGATCAGTTATTAATTTATTATTACAGCTTAAAAGGGAGGGACAAAAAATATAATATAAGAGAAAAAATATCTCGATATAATTAAAAGTGAATTTAAACAAAAATTTAATTTTTCGTTGATATTATTAATTAATGTAAGTCTCTCAATGAAATGAATAGTAAAACTTTGCATCTGTATTTTTATCTGAAAATTAAATAATTGGTTTATCTACGCTCAAATCCTTTTTATCAAAAAAATCTAACTTGATATTAAATAGGTGACATGCAAATTAATTCTTAACGTAGCAAGCACGAACTCAACTTTCTTTTATCCTGATATATGATTTCGTTGCGGTTTTTTTTTTCTTTCTTTGGATTAGTGAAACCATCGGTACCATGTGCTCATCAATGTCAAAATACCATGAATTGCACATTGCGTAAAAGGGTCCCCCCAATGACTCGTCCAGCTCATCCTGTACGTCATATAAATGAAGCCTAGCCAGTCACCCGAACTTCCTCTTTATATGGGCTCCCCAACTCGGCCAATTTGTATGCAGTCATGTGTTGACTAACGCATCTCTTCTTCAGAGTTCTTCATAGTCATTGGTGTTCTTTAAGTGCTTGATTTATATGACGTACAGGATGAGCTGGTCGAGTCATTGGGGGGACCCTTTTACGCAATGTGTTACTATATCTTGGTACATGATAGGATGGAAAGTGAGAAACAAGGAGGAAATGATCAAATTTTCATTCTTACCATTTTTATTACGTTCAACTTTTCTGAAGGGGAAGGGGGGGCAATATATAATTAATTACTCATTATTGTTCCATTTATCATATTTTTACCTTCCATTTTTTTTGTTTTATTATTTTTATTATTTTGTTTTTCATGCAAAACAACTAATTTTTTTCTTTAAATTTTCCACCCTTTGTGATTAATGCATAGATTGAGCCTAATTACATTTCTTATTAGTTAAGGGCATACTCAAATTATTAGCGCATATATATATTAAAGTTTTTCAACATAGGTTAATAAAGAAAAACCAATGATATTAACTTTATGTGTCAAAGGTATGGGAATAATATAGCTTTCAAGAGCTGTTAGCCGACCAAAAGATACGACTAATATCCTTTACAAATTTACCTAATACTTATGATAGTATTATATTTTTAAAAAAATTAATAAATTTTAAATAAAACACATAAAATGTTTAACAATCATGTAAAACAATATATATATATATATATATCTTACAATTATTACATTATAATAAATCTTACATAATATTATATAAAATTCACATTTATGATATGAATCTTTAATGATTGGTTATTATAATCAAATAATTATAGGATAAATAAAATTACAAATGAAATGTTCGTTTCCAAGAAAATGAAATATGTTTACGCAATGTGCGGATGGGATTTGCTGGGTCCACTATGCATTGTTACCTGGATACCAGGGCTCCAAATTTGAATTGTAGAGGTCAGCTACGGCCCAAGAAAAGTTCCTGCTTTGAGTTTCGGAAGTGGTCAAGTCTCAAATACAACAAATCAAAGGGAAACCTGAGAACTATATTAAATGAATACATATAGCTTGTGCAAGAGAAAGGATAACGTATCTTTAAGCAGATGTACATATAAGTATAGTTCTTCTCAATCTAATTTTTCCCCACAACACGCAGTGAACAGAGTATATTTGAATTTTTTATTAATTGGAGATATATAATAACGTAACCCACAACTAATAATCCACATGGCATCCAAAAGAATATACAGAGAGGAGAATAAATGAAGTAATTTCTGGGTGCAGGCATGAGATTATTGGTGAAGTGACAGAGGAAGGAAGCTAGGTAGAAAAGTTCAAAGTCGGAGATAGAGTGGGAGTGGGATTCCTGGTTGGATCGTGCCGCTCTTGTGATAACTGTGCCAACAATCTTGAAAACTACTGCCCACAAATGATACTAACCTATGCGGGAAAGTACTACGATGGAAGCATTACATATGGAGGCTACTCCAACACTATGGTTGCTGATGAGCACTTTATAGTTGGAATTCCCGACAATTTGCCTCTGGATGCTGCGGCTCCCCTTCTCTGTGCCGGGATGACAGTTTATAGTCCGTTGAGATATTATGGACTTGAAAAGCCTGGTTTGCATGTAGGTGTGGTTGGCCTTGGTGGGCTTGGTCATTTGGCAGCGAAATTCGCAAAGGCCGAGGGAGCCAAGGTGACAGTAATCAGTACCTCTCCTAACGAAAAGAACGAAGCTATTGAAAATCTTGGTGCTGATTCATTTTTAATTAGCGGACAGCAGGATCAGCCTGCAGGTCTGGGTTTTGAATTACATCTTTATTGTCTGGTTAACATATGAGGATTGTTGGGTGCAATGGTTAATTTCTAATGGCACTATGTTGATTATTTTAGGCTGCTATGGGCACAATGGATGGTATCATTGATACAGTGTCAGCTCCACACTCTCTGCTGCCATTGATTGGTTTGCTAAAGTCTCATGCTAAACTCATTCTGGTTGGCCTTCCGGACAAGCCGCTTGAGCTCCCAGTCTTCCCTTTGATCCTAGGTAATCAAGCATGTGAAATTACTGATTCTTACATTTTGGAAATTTTGCTTTATCTGCTCAATATGCCTTGCAAATCACAGGGAGGAAGGCAGTGGCAGCTAGCTGCATTGAAGGGATGCAGGAGACTCAGGAGATGATCAATTTTGCAGCCCAACACGATTTAAAACCAGACATTGAAGTTATTCCTGTAGATTATGTGAACACTGCCATGGAACGCCTTGCAAAAGGAGATGTTAAATATCGCTTTGTCATCGACATTGAGAACACATTGAAGGCTACATCTGAACTTTGAGCTTCATGCATTGCATAACATATTTGCTAGTACTACACTTGTTATTGATTAACTGTTATCCCTAGTCGCTGGTTTTTATCAAATTTTCATGATGTTGTAAAAGCATGATGCATGCATGGCCGAGTGTAATGTAGAGGCCGGTATGAATATTATTTTATCTAAAGATGTGGGATATTTTAGAGGTAATTAAAGTTATTCTACTTATTCATAGAACATAAAAGTGTTCAACCATGAATTTCTTGTGGGATGGAAATGAAGCGCTAAGAAAAATTACATGAAAGTGTGATGAGAAGTTGTACGTGAATCTAAACAAATGGTTTGGAAATAATAAATTTGTTTAACAAAAACTTGGCACATTTGTAAATGGTGGTGGAGGTTCGAGAATGAGAAGAACTCTCTTTGAAGAAGGGTCATCCTTGAGACGTATGAGACAGGAAAAAGATTGAAGGTTTAACAACTTTTTTAAGAAACGAGAGATGTCAATGGGTGGGGGGTAATGGAAAAAATATCATGTTCTGGCATGATATTTGGGTAGAAAATAAACCATTGAAAGTTGTGTTCCCTAGATTATTCCGATTAGCAGTGAACAACGACGCAAGGATGAGGGAGTATGCCAAGGAAATTATTTTCTCTAAATCCCAGCTGGGTGATTGATTTTAGGAGAGATTTGTTTGAATAGGAACGTGAGCTACTCAATCAATTGATTAACATTCTAAAGAGTGTGTGCATTATAGAAGAAAAGATGGATAAGTTGGCTTGGACTTTTTCAATTAAGCAACTTTCACGCTCTAAATCGAGATGAAGGGGAGTTCGTTGATGAGACTCTTTGCAAGGTATGAAAAATCAGAATTCGCCCCAAAGTCTGATGTTTTTTGTGGCTCTTATAGCTAGACCGATTACCAACTAAAAAGTTCTCATTGTCAAGGGGAATCCCTCTCGATAAGGAAACCAAATTAATTAGGTCCTTGGCGTAAAATTAATGTTGTTGAGGATGGCAACCATGTTTTATCATTTGTTCTTGGAGCTGGAAGCACTGGTATGAAATACTAATTTGGTGGAATGTCTGCCGTCGACTTGGTTCAAGAGGATATTATTTATTTTAATCATTTTTTCTGATCCCATCAATATTTTTGACTCTAACTTTACTATCAAAGTTGCATAGGAAATTTTCCATGAATTCTCCTGATGAGGATATTTTTCTCCCATCAAATCTGTCTGTCAGATAATATTTACGTGAATTTTGAATTCCTTTAAATGATTATAAAAATTGTGAAAGTTCTTTCAATAGGTTGATGCTTGCAATCGATCATAAGGTGTGTTTTTTTTTTTGAAATATTTTAAAAAAAAATCAATCACCGAATCATACAACGTGTTTCTTGTGAAATATTTTTAGAAGAATCTATCAATATGCTGACTCACTGGCAAAAGGGTGTGTGGATAGGAAGAAATTGTCAGTGGAATGGGGCCGAAATTGAGATCCAATTCCTTGTTGAACATGGTTTCATTCTGTAATAGGGACAAAGTACAGCGGAAAGTCGGCTTTCTTTCTTTTTGTTATATTGGATTTTTCCTCATTCGGACTACTGTTGTTGTATGAGTTCTCTTCCTTCAGTTTGGCCGAGATATTTTGGAGTGGTGGGTATGTCCATCACTGTACCTAGGACAGAGTCAGCATTTCTAATTTAAAGTACAAATAAAAAATTTAATATTTGAGGAGATGAAATTATAAAATTTTTAAAAAATTAAAAACAAAATCATAAGTATTTAAAATAAAACAAAGAAAATTTAAATATTTTTAAACCCTTTAAGAAGGTGGGTGCCCCTATTAGCCCCCCTCTCCGCCTCTGCTGGTACTTATGTTTCGATTATTACTCGACTAGATTTTAGTTTGAGCAAATCTTAATGAAATTATGACTTAGCAAAAAAAATACTAATTTTTATAGAAGATTTGAAAACATAGTAACAAATTCGTGTGTATATGGTTTGAATACTTGAGGTAGTAAAATAATTGCTTTTCTATATTAACAATACCATAAATAAATACATAACTTACAATTAATATTTTCCAAATTAAATTAGAGAAGCATTTTAATTTGCAACAACATATATGGGTAGCTTTCGGGTAATATATCCAAATAATACAATTGGTTACTGTTTGAAGTTAAAAAACACGAACTACTTCATTAGATAAAATCAATGCCAGATTATTTAAAGAGATTAATAAAAGCTGAATAAAAAGAATAAATTAATAAAGGTTCTAAAATTATTGTAGACGTTTAATCAAAAAAGTTGCTAACTACTACTACTACTACTTCTGTGTCTTTTTTTATATTTTGTAAGAAAATAAAATATGAAATATATTTTTAAGAAAGAAAAAATTTCATGTTTTTATAACTATTTAAAGGTATTATAATCACTAAAAATATTTAAGAAACTTTTTCTTGGTATATCAATTTAAGGATTGTTAATAGATATATTTTGTGACCCGTCGACATTTGCCATAAATGAAAGACTAAAGCTGCTAAAACAAGTCTCCTTAAGCTCAAACTTGACATATGCTTGCTTTTGTTCCTTGTTAGAATATTTTTAAGATAAAGTGAAAGAAAGGAGTAGAAAAAAATTTGATTAATTCGATAAAATAGTTGATTATGTGAAAACTTATGAAGATTAGTCAACTAAATATATGTAATTAATCGACTGACATGATGCAAAGATGAGTTAAAGACTTCAAAACTAGTTTAGTCCATTAAAATCTTTGACTAGTCATATATCGCTAAAATTCAAAGTAAAAATTTGGTTTTGCAGCACATTAGTAGACTAAGGACGTTCATATGGTCAATTAAAACTCAAAGTGAAAATTTGGTTTTGGAATGTGTACTAGTCAAGTAATCTTGATGAATTTAGCCAACTATCAGCAAAAATCTAAAATTTCAAAGGGAAACTAGCATAAAAGGAATCAGCACTATAAATCCTTAACATCCAATATAAATTTGTAGGTATTTAAACCTTTTCCAAAAAAAAATCATTTTTTTTTTCTTAAAAAGTTACTAATAGTATTTATTGAGATCCAAAATATATGTCCTTCAAGACAACAATTGAAAAGACAACTTGTTTAGGTGAATAATCACCATTTGAAGTTATATATCTTTTGATCCAAGATAAACATTATTCCAACACATAATAAAATTAAGACAAGTACTTCTAATATCAATCCTCTTTATACCATAAAACAGCTCAGGTTTCTTATACATCTGATACCGTAGAATATCTTGTATAAGGTATATTATTTCGCCTAATGATTTTATTTAATTAGTGTGAAGTGCACGGATCAAATAAACGTTTGATTGTATCCTCAACTATTGGTTTAAATTAATATTTTTGACAGGAAAAAGAAACTCTTGACGAGGTTGAGAAGCATCGAGAAAACATTGGAAACTCGACCGTCTGGAGAGCTTAGAGAGCTTGAATATAAGCTGCGCTTAGTGTATGAAACTGTTCTTCAATAGGAAGAACTTTACTGGCTACAGAAATCGAAGGCAGATTGGTTAAAATAGGAGATCGAAATACAAGCTATTTTCATCTTCGAGCAGCACGTAAGAGGAACAAGTTGAGGATTATTCGACTGAAGTCCAGCGATGGTAGTTGGTGTAACGACCAAGGTCTACTCAAAAGACAAGCAGTGGAATTTTATCAGAGGTTGTATGCCAAAGAGAATGATATCTTTCTAGCTTACCGAATTAGAGATAAATTTCTAGTATTGGATACAGCAGCTAACGACAAATTGATTAGACTTGTTGAGGAAGAGGAAGTCCATAATGCCTTATTCGAAATGAAACCTTTAAAGGCACCAGGAATTGATGGGTTTCCTGCTTTGTGTTTTCAATCTCAATGGACAGTGGTGGGAAAAAATTCGGTTGACTATGTTAAAAAAGTATTCGATGGGGCGTTAGTTGGTGAGGATATATGCAGATTAGTCGTCACTTTGATATCGAAATTGAAGAATCCGGAAGATATTTCTCAATTTCAACCGATTAGCCTTCTACCAGTAGTCTTCAAAATACTCATTAAAGTCCTCACAAATAGATTGCAGCCCTTCATGAGCTCTTTAATTACGGAGACACAAACTAGTTTCATTCTTGGAGGATAGATTACAGGCAACATAATTATAACACAAGAAGCAGTCCATTCTTTCCGAAAAAAGAAGGATCAAGTAGGGTGGATGATGATTAAGATAGACCTAGAGAAAGCATATAATCGCTTGAAATGGGAATTTATTTATGATACTTTGATCGATGCTAAAATCCCTATGACCTTGAGAAATATCCTTCAGAGTTGTTGGTGTTGCAGTAAAACACAAATACTATGGAATGGTACCCTTTCTGACACATTCGTACCCTCCAGAGGAGTAAGACAAATGGATCCTTTATCCCCATATATCTTTGTATTGTGTATGGAACGGTTGGCACATGAGATAAATAAGGCAGTAAAACAAGGTGCATGGAAACCCATCAGATTAGGCAAGAAAGGTCCCCTTTTAACTCATCTGTTTTTTACAGATGATTTAATACTATTTGCTGAGCCTCAGAACCACAGATGAAGGTAATACAAGGAGTTCTAGTTAATTTCTGTGTTTGTTCTAGAGAAAAGGTGGGTATTCAAAAATCATCATTTTATTGTTATAGAAATGTATCTCGACAGATAGTTAACAGTTTACTACAATGTTTGGGCTTTTCTTTTGGGGAAGACTTTGGAAAGTATTTGGGGGTAACATTAATAAATGGTAGGAAGTGGAGTAACTCTTTTCTCTATTTGGAAGACAAAGTATGTTCCCGCTTGATTGCTTGGAAGGCATCCACTCTATCATTTGCAGGTAGACTTACATTAATTAAATCTGTTTTGTTTACCATTTCCTACTATGTTATGCAAACAGTTTTCATACTAATCAATATTTGCAAAAAAATTGAGGCATGTTGTAGGAGGTGGTTCAAACAATCGTAAAATCAACCTACTCAAGCGGCAGGATATTTGTAAACCTAAAGAGGAAGGGGGCTTGGTAATTCGTCATTTATAGATTATGAATGACGCATTCTTGATGAAAATTTGTTGGGGGATTGTAACTACGCCAGATGAAACATGGGTGAGAGTTTTACGGGGAAAATATAATATTGGAACCAACTCAATACCAAATAAAATTAATCGAGCTGGGTCTTTTGCTCTCTGGAATTCAATAGGCAGACTATGGCAACCATTTAAATGAAATATTAGATGGGCAATCAGAGATGGTCATCCTACTCGTTTTTGAACAGATATTTGGCTTGGGGATAGACCTTTAATTGAGACAGCTCGATCAATGGGCTATTTCATTGATGATTTTATACTTTTTAATGGAAGCTGGAACTTTGAGGACCTTAATGCATGGCTACCAGATGAAGAGAGAAGTCTCCTTTTGAAGACATTTCCACCACCTTATTTCAATTGAATTGATGAACCATATTGGGCACATTCCTCATCTGGGGTATTCTTCATTTCATCTGCTTATAATTGGCTACAAGAAGACATGAGAACTCAGGACAGAATATAGAGCAATCCTTGCTACATGCAATGTACACAGGAGGATGAAACTATCCTGCACACCTTGCGAGACTGTTCTCCGGTTAGTTCTCTCTAGTTGCGGCTTGTACCACAAAAATATATAGCTCTTTTCGTCAGCTCAAGCTTAATCGACTAGCTGTCACATAATTTGTCACGTTGCAAAAGAACAATAAGAGAGATCCTGTGGGTGATCATATTTGGAACACGTTGCTAGTACCTTCGGAAGTGGAGAAATGCTTGGATTTTTCAAGGAAAGCAAAGGAGAAATTAAATGCAATATTTAGTTTTGCTTCAATTATTGTCAAAAACTGTGGTAAGATTGGGAATGGTATTGAAGCACTAGAAAGCAGGAAGGAGGAGATCCTGGTTGGCTGGGCAGCATCTCCACATGGTTGGCTTACCTTAAACTCAGATGATGCTTTGAAAATATCACTAGACAAGGTAGCAGCTGGTGGAGTACTTCGAGATTCCTGTGGCAATTGGTTCGGTGGTTTTTCTACAACCCTTGGACGGTGCACTGCATACCTAGCTGAGTTGTGGGGTACTTATAAAGGACTCAATTTAGCTTGGCAGTTGGGTTACCGGAAAATAGATCTGCAAGTGGATAGTAAACTAGTGGTGTAAGCCATCACTTCCCCCATAAGCCATCGACGTCCAACCACAGATTTGATTGAAACTATTCAAGGTCTACTTCATCTTAATGGAAAGTCAAAATACGACATATTTTTAGAGAAAAAAATATTGTATGGATTACTTGACAATCAAAGATTTTGATTTAGACGAAAAATATAAATTTTATGATGTCTTCTTTGTAGAAATCTTCGTTTAATTAGATTTTAATAAAATTTATTTTAAAATAATAATAATAATAGTTACAGGTAAGGATTATAGGGTGTAACAAGCCGTACGACTATGACATTTGAACAAAATCTCTCAAATCATTTTTTTTCATTTTTTGACTTGAGTTTAAAGCATTAAAATACATGAATTTTGTGATTCTTATTGGGTGCCCCGTTAACATTTGCCTTTAATTTATTGACTGGAAATTTGCGATTGAGCGGCAAGAAGACCAGTTTCTTTTATTCATCATAATAATAGCATAAGGTCGCTTTACCCCGGCCCTCTTTTGCCCTTTTGTAAGATAAAATAACAAAATCTTGGACCGGTGTCGACTTCAAGCGGCCTTCAGTGTGCTCCCGATGTCAATGACGAATCGGTATTTGACATCTGCTTTGAGAAGGCGCTCCATGGCAGTGTTCACATAATCTATAGGTATAACTTCAATATCTGGTTTCACGCTGTGTTTAGCAGCGAAATCCATCATCTCTTGAGTCTCCTTCATCCCTCCAATCATGCTTCCTCCGACTATCTTCCTCCCTGCCATTAAAGGTATATTACTTCTTGTTAGAGCCTCAGTCTTAATTCCATATTATATCCAATAATGGATTGGAATATAAATTAGAAAGCATTATGACTCCTACCAACTTAGGATATCTATCGAGATTCGACACCTCTCCTCACTCTCACAAAACATATACTAATAATAATAGATATTCTTACCTTGGAGCAAAGGAAAGCTTGGTAACTCAAGTGGTTTCTCAGGAGCACCAACAAGAACAAGCTTCCCGTTAGTCTTCAACAGCCCAATCAAAGGCAGCAGAGGGTGTTGAGCAGATACTGTATCGATGATTCCATCCAGTGTGCCAATGGCAGCCTAAACAGTCAACATATATATGTAGTGAATTTAGAAACTACTATATACACTCACAAGAACACCTCTTTAATTAAGTTATTGAAAGGAAAAAAAAAAAAAACGTTTCCAA